GTGATATTCAATCGCCTTGTGATATTCTCCTAATGATTGATAGGCATTCCCTAAATTTCCATAAGCTTTACCTTCTCCCTGCCTGTCACCAATCTCTTTAGCTATGCTCAGTATCTTTTCGTGATATTCAATGGCCTTGTGATATTCTCCTAATGACTGATAGACATTCCCTAAATTTCCATAAGCATTTCCTTCTCCCTGCCTGTCACCAATCTCTTTAGCTATGCTCAGTCTCTTTTCGTGATATTCAATCGCCTTGTGATATTCTCCTAATGAATTATAGGCAATCCCTAAGTTTCCATAAGCACGTCCTTCTCCCTTTCTATCACCAATCTCTTTAGCTATGCTCATGCTCTTTTCGCGATATTCAATCGCCTTGTGATATTCTCCTAATGAATCATAGATATTTCCTAAATTTTGGTTAACTTCCATCTCTAAAGCATGATGGCCTCTACCAGTAAGGCTTAGAACGTTCTGGAGATAATAGATAGCTTTAGCTGCTTGATGGACGAGATGATATAAATTACCAAGTGCAACATAAATGGGAACAATCATCTTGGTATCATGTACAAAAAGAGCCATCACCAAACATTCCTCTAACAAGGAGATCAGTTCTTCTCTTTTTGGCTTTGTGAGATTGAGAACAGAACGATGATATGCATACGACACACAAAACCTGATGAAAAGTTGAACGATGTTCATATCCATGGCGGTGATATTATATGTGTTAGCTTTCTAGAGAAATAAATAAAACGTTAAGATTTTACAGCTCTTATTGTATTGGTTCGCCAATTTTTTTCCTGCAAAAAAAAAAACATTTTAGTCCAGGCATTTTACTCAAAAAGTAGACCTTACCCGNAGCATAAAGACCTTTGTTGCTYTGTCGTCAATGGCCCACAATGACGCTACAACAGCACGAGCTCCTGCAGCAAGAAAGGCTCGAGCAATTCCAACCACTCCCTCAGACCTTATTTCACCTTTACCGCTGTGACAACAGCTCAGTACAACCAGTTGAGCACGAATTCCGCTCTCCTGTGCTTCCTTCATGGTCAAGATGTTGCCCTTGTCATCTACTGGACACGAATTCATCGGAGGAGTAGAAGGAGCCAGTAGGATCTGACCATTTTTATCTCTGCCGTGTGAAGCAAAGTGGATCACGGACACGTCTTGCTTTAGTTTCTCCAAAATGACTTCTTTTGTTGCTTGCTTTCCTATCAATGGTTGAACACCGAGGAGGTTACCAATCTCGACGGCTTCTTTCTCTGCACCAGGTAAATCCCCTGTAGGGTTTCCAATGATCAGCGCCCCTGACTTGAATGAACAAAGCTTTAATCAACGTCAATTATTATATCTTATATTTTATTATATTTTTTTCTGGTCTAGGAATTGTGAAAGAAATAGCACGATATTGCGATGCCAAATAAAATGAAAAGAAATTCAAGAAAACGTCATTTTGTAGACCGTTACTGGAGCTGAGCTCTGTGGTAGCTCCCCGCCTTTGAGGTAAATTTTGTAAAATAAAATAAAGATAAATAAACATTATAATATTAAAGCGAATCGGTCAGACGTCACAATAAAAACACTAAATAGATGTATAGTCAATAGGCGTCTACGGTGGACAAAAGAAATTCTAGTCAAGACTTAAAATAATAAATCCTCAAACGTCCTGTTGAACGATATGTACATGCAAAATCAACAACTGTCTTATAGCTGAATCAAGGAAATGTTTCCAACGCGGGGTGGTATACGAAAGCACATGTGCAAAATGTGGATGCATATATATATACATCGGTGGTACTTTATATCAGACATGAGAGCAACAAGGAACATCTCAAATCCACCGAATCATCAGTCTTATCTCATGTAAACAACTGCTCGGAAACTAAAGAAATAGAAGAAATCAAAGTAGGAATACTAATCGCACGTGAAAAGGATCCCCCTCCAGCTCACACCTTTTGGAAGCCTTACCATCAATTCACGCGATGAATGCAAGGAACTACAGGATTTGTTACTTTAATTGACTAGACTTTCTTCTGTCCACTGTAGACGCCTATTGACTATTCATCTCGCTCATTCCCTAATGATGCTGTAGACAGCGTTTGGATACCGTCCAGATGTAACGCTACTAGACGAGGTATGGCGGCATTTACCCAGTCTGAAGTTCTCTGATTGCGCTACGAGTTTGAAAATTCTGGAAATTCCGCTTCCTTCCGAGTTTTTTTCTTCTTCGATCGCTTGCTCGATAGCATTTAATTTTGCGAGCCTTTCGTTAACAGATAAGATTGGTAAATCGAGCAAGTCCCTCATACTCGGATTCTTGTCGATATGGAAACGGAGACTGCAGACTGTCGAAATCGAGGGCGCTACCACTTCGAAACCAAACATTCTCTGCTGTCGCGCGCTCAACATTGTCATAACTCCACAAATACACGCTACTAGAATAACAGCAGTTTTGAAATAGCGACGAATAGATTATATTTCGTTGGGATTCTTGAAAAACTATCACTAATGAAGTAGATTATATGATTGTGCATTTTCAATGCTTAAACGTGTAAAGATAAAAGCCTACCTTAGCATAATTTTCGTCTGAGGATTCTTGTAGAATTTTCAGCGTCGTCAGGGAGGGAGCCAAGCGTATGAGCTTAGTCTCCGACAAATACTTGCCAGTCACTGGATCTCGAAGAGCAGCAAATGGCACCATGAACAGAGGACCGTCAGGGATGATGATAACCTTGTCTTGGGTCAGCTGGCTAATTACTGGAGAAAGAAGTCTACGGGAGAGCACGTCGAGAGGCTCGATATCATCTTCATCGTCCGCGGAAGCGCACCATCTGTCAACCTGTCGAAAAACTGTGAGGGCAATTTCTCTGAGATTTGAAGACTTTGTAGCGCCTGCAGGCTCCCCGTTTTCATGGTCTAGTAAGCTCATCGCTTGTTCATCGCATTTCATTCCTTCTCTAAGACGCATCTGGCGAAAACTGTTGTCAACGAGATATTGAAAATATCCCGTATTCAAGTATGTTTTATCATATTCAGACAGACTCAACACAATTTTTGCCAAAGCCTTGATGTTTTCCATTTCATCATAATAGAAGGTTGATGGACTTTTGGTTGATATGATCCAGCAATCATAAGTTACCTTGTTAAGATGAAGATTGTAAAACACAATGCAGGCTTCTTTATATGAAGAAATTCTTTTGACATCTGCAAATTTCGGTTCTTGTGCTTCTGTTTTCTCAGTTGTGTTATATTTAAGGTACAAGAGATCTCTCAAAGCACGTGCTCGTCCACGTTCACATACCATGAGCGCTTCTTCGATTTGTCCAGATTTAATATGGACTTGGCTGAGCATCTTGTAGGCTGTGATGAATGTATCGACGATTGAAACTTTGAATTGGTCATTGTCTTTTAAATCATCAAACAATTTCTCGTAGCACTGTGTGCTCTTCTCTAGGTGTTCTTTTGATTTGCTGAGATCTTTAATAATCGATTCTTCCTTATAAGCAGCACCTTAAATAGAAAG